AAGGGATGCAAATGATGAAACAAGAAGCTGTAAGAAGTTAGGCAGGACTGAAGGGCTGAGGTTGGTTTCGTCCATTATCCCTAGAGAAGCCCATTGAAGCGTTCATATCGGAAGGAAATACTTCCACCTGCTTCAGGAATATAATTGTTCCTCGTGCCTTTATTTTGAGCTTTGTAGGGCACTCGATTTACTTCTTCTCCCTTCCCTTTACAGATGACTGTAACAACGCGATTTGCTGCCTGTGTCCCCTTAGGGAGCATTCAAATTGTTTCCACGGGTGATTCTATTTTTTTGGAACCCTTTCAGGATTTGTTCCATTACATTCAGGCTGCTTTCCAGAAATATTTTAATATTCAAACAGATATTGCTGCGTTCGTGCCTTCGTTTGCAAATACAAATCAGAGCTGTGGCAAATCAAGGGAGGAAGCCGTGATTCAAGCCGTGCCATTCAAATCACTTTTTGGTTATGAAATGCTGGTCACCGAGCCTCGATTAGTTCCGATGGAAGCTGTTGATACTCAGGTGGCCCTTCTTCCTCATTCTCTCTTTGTTTCAGAGACACCTGACAGGATATTAATGTTTAGATATGCAAAATATACCCTTATTTTCAACGTTAATCATCAGAGCTGCTGATTTTTTCCAATGACTTCTCAAAGCAAAGCTGGAGAAATGTGTTCACGGGAAGATAAGTGAAATGCGTGACATTTCTGTCCTTCCACTGAAGGCAGAAGTTAATCTCTTTGCCCTGTGAGTTCAAGGCAGAGCAAATGCACTTTGAAAGCAAGGAGTTAAATATTGCAGAACGCTGGGACTGCACCGTACCCCTGCGGATGTCTCACTCGGCGTTTATGGCCTACACAGGGGTTTGGGTTCTGTTCTGTTTTCCTCCCACCACCCAAAGAAGAGCCTCCTTTTGCTGCGAACGCTATCGAGTCCAAAAGGGGAAGAAGCCCATCCACCTCAGAGAGCAGCGCTTCGGCATCCTCACCACCTGCCAGCAAGACCCAACCATGCCCTGCCTTCCCCCTCAGCCTCATTCCAAAGCCTGGAGTTCATCTGTGTTCCGTCGGCCCTGGCTACCCGTAGGGCAGCTGTAGGTTCCTCTGCCCTCTCCCCACATGCCAACACAGTTTCCTAACGTTCTGCTTCAGTCTTTGGAAGACTGTCATGGCTTGGATGTGGCAGAATAGTTGCCCCATGCTCACGTTCTGTGGGTCCCGACCCCACTTCCAGCAGCGCAGCGCTGCTGATGGATTCCAACGGTTTGACGCAACGGCACCGCAGGAACAAAAATAACCCAACATCTGGCCCCGTTCTGAACGCACACATGGGAAAGTAAACCTCGGCGAGCCAGGTGCTGTTAACTCCACTGCTGTGACTGCAGCAGAGGGAATGGTTTGATAACCAACGCAGCAGAAGATACAAAATCGCCGGCTCCCACCTACTCCCTTAGCATCGTGGCTGGAAAGCGTCCAGACCACAGAATCCTGGAAGTGATTGGGAAGAGAGGGCCGGAGCCCAGACCTTGGGAAGCAGCTTGGGTCTCCTTGCTGATCTCTATTCACAGCAGCTCAGGAGTTAACCAACTGCCTGCGCCCGCACCTTCTATTTGCCTTGGATCTGCACCAAGCTTGAGTCATCACGTTCAAACAGAGGGGAGGGAGCGGGGAAAGAGCTTCATTTTCCAAGAAGGGCATTCCCATACCAGGACACTTTTAAGTTCTTACCAGGAAAAGGAGCCTTTTTGGAACGAGGTGGGTGGGTGCGTACCTTCTCTGAAGGGAAAACAGGTTCTGCTCAGATCTATACGTGATCACAAACAACTCAGCTGCGCCGGGGTCCGAATGAAGCAGGACCTCTGGGTACAGCGGGTCACGTCTGCCTTTTCAGAAAGATTTAATGGAGCTGCAGCCAAAGTAACCTCGTGCCATAGGTGGGACCGAGGGCTTTTATAGTAGCAGACTATCAAAGGAACGCAAGGAATGCGGGGTGTAAACAGATTAGATCTTTTCCCCCTTCTTGTAGAAAGGCCCAGGTTTCTTCCCTTTCCTCCAAGGCTTGAGAAATTTAAATGAAATCCCGAAGCATGCATGTTACTCAAGCGCACTCCGTCCCCAGCCTGGGATTCAAAGCCAACCATTCACAGGTTTTTCCTGTTTAATCAGGGGTTGTGCAGGAACTCGGTGGAGCCCTGGAACCGGATCCGCTGGCCATTTGGGTTGAGCTGGAACGAAATTGACCTACAGCACATTAACCCCTCACTTTGCTTCTTCACCCGTTTGGAAGCGTCGGTCCTACAATTACCGACGCTACCCAGTGGCCATGACTCTGCAGAACGGATTTCCTAGCCCAGACCCACAACCCCCTGTTGGGTCTGTCCGTGCACAGGGAAGGCAGAAGGCTGATCCTGGGGCTGAGCAGGGCCTGAAGGTCAGCAGGAGGCTCAGGTGGGAGCGGTGATGGAGCGGTGGGACTGGGAAGGGCTGAAGGAGGTGGAACTGGGGGAGTAAGTCCGACATGGGCAGCTCCTTCGACCCACCCAGGAAGATCATTAGCACTAATGAGTAAGAATATTAACAGGAATCGGGGGAATTCTAATGGTACTGCAACAGCATGAGGGGGGAGAGGCGCGTGGATCTGCCGTGTGTTCCGCTCTCGCTCCAGGAAGTTTGTGAGCTGATGGTTCCTGAAAGCCTGCACAGATATGATTCTTGTGCTTGTTTACATACCCTGCCCACACCTTCGTAACAGCGAGGTCACACACAGTCTCTCAATCCCTCACTCCCTGGCAGAACGATTGTTTTAACCCCGAGACCTTAAAACCTCCAATGCCATCGACACTTCCCAAATAAAGGAAGCGAACTATAGAAAATCCAGTGCTTTTCTTCTCACTTTCCACTTTCGTTCTGATTTCCAGTAGCTTTGTTAGGGTTCTGTTAAGCTGATGGCGAGTTACACGGTGTTATCTTTCATAACGCATCCTTCTGTCTTCTCACCGCACACCTGTCACAGTTGTGTGACCTGGAAGGGCCCGAAATCAGCTTGAAATAATCACAAGTGCCCTTTCCAGCAGCGGTTCCTGCATTCTGAAGCCTTATTTGGTCCTGCTGGGGGGTGCTCCCCAAAGTAAGGAATTAAACTGTGATCGTAGGAAGGAACCCAGAGTCACCTTTTTCCTTGCGAAGGCAGAAACTGCTGGCAGCAGCTGCAACGGGCAGCTGTGAGCAGTAATTAAAAGCAGAGGGGGGCTATGAAAGATGCAAATTCACATAGAAGGCAGAGAGAGTCCTCGGGTTTCTGAACCCAGGAGCTGGGCCAACGAGGCGCACATCACACAACGACTGATTTGCATTGGCCAAGCAGTGGTGTTACAGATATTCTACCCGCTGCACAGTGAGAAAACTTCCCTGGCTCGCTTTCCAGTAGACCAAGGCATCTTGTTCTGGGATAGCATAAGGCAATACTAATAATTCTATTGCAGGAAGCAGCACTTAATGTTGACGGGGTCAGAGAGCCGCCCGAGCGTGGTTTCTCCCCAGAAAACATTTTGCCAGTCTTCCGAAAGGCGTTCTCTTTCCACCTGTCACCTCCCTATAAATCATTAGCAATAATTATCCTCTTCACTTGAGCCCAAGTGAAACCAAAACAAACAAAAAAAAACCCAACGTTTCTATTAGAGATAGCAGATATTAATCAGAATCCAAATTGCAGGGAAGCTGATGAGAGATTTCCTGTTACCCTCTATGGCCTCTGGATGCCCCGTGGTTTTTGTTAAGTTTTAATTGCACTGGGCCTAGCGTGCTATCTGTATGTACACACACATCTGTGCACGTGTGCATCCCTTTTACAGTCTAGAATCTCGTGTGCTGATTTCATCTCGAGAGGTGATCACCTCTTTAGGCCGACGTGATGCGGGATGCTGGCACGCCTCCGGCGCGCAGCTCTCCTCCCTCCCTCCACCCCGCTCCACCAGCAGGCCATGGCACTGAGCAGAAAGGTGGCAGCACCCAAGGGCGGGCGGCTCACGGCCTGCCCACGGGGCTGTTCACAGGCCCAGAAGCGTGTAAGCATCAGGAAAGGAACAATGGGACTGCAGGAAGCCCTGCAGCTCCTGCAACCCCAGCGTGTCATCTTTGCGAGTCTTCGTGTTTGGAATAAATGCACACAATTACTAGCAAGAAGCAAACGGTGACCTTAGGGCTTCCTCCGTGTGTTCAGGTCGCCCCGAACGCATGGCACCGTGTCAGAGGGGCTGCAAACAGTGCTTGCCATGCTCCTTTCGATATCTCATTTAAAGCCCCGTCTGCCTCCCATGCCCTGCTGCAGCATTCATCTGAATTTGCCGCACTGTGACTGGCTTTGCTAGAATGTCAGTTCCTTCCTACAGAAATAATTTCCCTTCCCTACAGTTGTTGGACGCTCACACGCGTATGAAAGCATCCCATAAAACAAGAGGAGAGAGCCTCCTCGTCTTCAGACAGCGTGCTGCACGTACTCCCACAGCTCAACCTGCGCCTGAGTTTTACAGCTCATCTCAGAGCAGCACCCCTCCGCACAGCCCCTTTCTTTCACCACGCGCTCAACACAACACACAGACTCTACGTTAGCCCTCCTTTGCGGAGAGAGCCACTGCGTATCCATCCCACAGAGATGGAGATCTCCCCCCTCAGCCGCCAGCAGAGCTGGGAGCCCTGCAAGGAGCAGCTCTGCTGACGGTTGGAGGAGTAAAGCGGCACCAAGGGTTCGCATCGCCGGGTCCAACGTAACACGGCTGCAATCACCATCAGTCTCCACAGACCCTCGTGTTTTAAAAGAAGTAGAAAATAAATGTTTGTCCTTTCGTTCTGCTGGCAATTTCTCTCCCGGTGTCCGAGTGGTCAGAAGGGGGGAAGTCACCTGCAGCCACAGCTTCTGATGCACAAAGGGCAGCGGCGGGAGCCACCCCGCTACCGCTCAGCCTTATTCCAACGACCGCAGCGCCTTTTGTTCCTGAACCACTTCCCAAGCTCCCTCAGAACATCGCAAAGTGCAGCTATCACCATCCCTCGAGAAAAGCCTTCATTAAGAAAAGATAAAGTCAATCACTTACTTGTTCTCTCCCGCCGTTTAAACACACGCACACAGAAGAAAAAAAAAAAAAACAACAACAAAAAACCCCAAACCAAACAAACCGAAGCAACTTCTGGCTTCGTTTGGCCTCGTTCACGTTAAGAAAAATAAAAGCCGGGGTAAATGCCAGCCCTGAGTTCTCCCAAGACCTTAGGAAGCTCGGGGAAAACAGGGCGGAAGGGGAGCACCCCGGAGGAATCTCGGAAGAGCGGATTTATTCCAAGTGCTTCGCAGCGCTGTTATCTCCGCCTTGGCTAAGCGGAATGCTGGTGAAAATCTTTGCCTGGTACAGTGCGGAGCCTCTGGTTCACAGGCCAGGAATTCTACGCTGAATAATTTTTAACTTCGGCTCTGGGAGGAAAAGCAGAGTCTCGTACATTCTGCCCGCTGGAGTCGGCTTTCTCTTTTTATTGCACGGAAGGAGAGCTCCTAATTTTCGGGGGAGGTGGGGGACGGGGACGGACACGCAGCGTGCCCTGAGCTGGGGGACACGGGGGGACAGGGGCAGAGCGAAGCCAGGGGGCTTTTCAGAGGAAATAAGAGGGCTGAGAGCGGCCTTTCGAGAGCCATAGGCAGTGATTTCCCAATTCTTTTTTCTCACTTAAAGACAATAATTTTACCGACGTGCAGCGAATGCCATCTAACCCACCCGGAACCGCTGAGACAGCAGCAGCTAGCGATTCTGATGGACCGGTTTGTTCTCTGAGTTGTCTTCCCTCGTTAGAGGGCTGGCTGAAATTGGGGATGCCCCAAGAGGCAGGAGAGCCTGCCTGAAGCCACGGAGTCAATGTGCAAAGATCCGGGGCGAGAAATAAACGCAGGAGCGAGCCGCTTTGGCTCTGCAGGAATTACATCACCCACTGGGAGTGCCGGGAACGAACCGCATCTCCTGAGCTGCACCCAGGCACGCCGAGTTGGACTCGATGACCCTGACAGGTCCTTCCATCTCGGGTTATTCTGTGAAATAAGAGATCCAATTTCTGAGCAGAGCATTCCTCACGGCCTCTTCCCCACCTGGAGACGCGGGCCAGGACGTTGGGAACGAGGCGCCGCCCAGCGTCACCCCACGAGAGCCACCAAACCTACATCTGCCGGGCTCCAGGCCCACGCTCGTTCCACGTGCCCACAGTGCTTCCATCCACGGTATTTTATTTCCAAATGCTGCTTTTCTCCTTTCAGGGATGGTGGGATCCTCAGCCCGCAGCGACCGCCGTGCGGAGCACAGCTGCCTTCTTCCACCATGAAAAGAGAAGGGGGAAGGCTCTCTGGAAACAACACTCGGCTCCAGCGGCTGCGTGCGGAACCCGCTGTCGCATACATCTGTAGGATACGCAAACAGCCACACGTGTGGCTGTAACGTGGATGCGTTCATCCACACCGAAAGCAAAAAGCGAGAACCCAGATGAAGGAAAACCCCACAGAACCACACAGGTGGATGATGGGGCAGGTCTGGAAAGCGAGCAGCGAGGAATGCATTCAACACCATTCAAGAAGGGTTTTTGTGTGCGTATCTCTACCGAAGTGTGACTTCAGAGACTCTCTCAGTGCACGTACAGGCGAAGGCTCCCCACCAGCAGTGCCCTCCTTGAAAACGCGTGCAAATCCTCCCATGCTCCTCAAGAGAAACCTTCCCCCGGACCCCCCTCAGTCAGCAGCAAGCCTCCCGGGGCTGCGTCTGTACAACGCTGCTGCTTCCAAAGCAAACAGACACCCCCAAACCGCAGCGGCTATTCCATATTGAGACGCATCAATAAAATGTGATTTATAGCATTGTCACTGGAACGTTTTGTCCTTATCGAGCTCGAGATAAGATAGGAGGCATTGAGAAAGGCTCGTTAAAGCGCAGTCTGGCCGTCAGCACATTAACGAACTCGCTTTTCAAAGCTTATTAGCAAAGAGGCAACCGGTATAAAGGAACAGCTTGCAGGAGCGGGCGTGAGCTGGGAGAAGGAGAGCGGCGGTTACACCATCGCTTCTACCTTCAAGAAGCCCACTTGTTTTATGATCCCGAATTATTCCAGAGCTCCCGTGCGGACGAAGAGCTCGCTGGGCTCCTCCCGTCCCTATCTTTCTCTGATTCAAAGTGCAACGGGAGTATTTCAGAAGCTGCCGGGAGTTTTTCCTCCTCTAGGAGCGCCCTGAAGCGGTACTTGTTGGTCAGGGGGAGGTTCGCAGGGCAGAGAGCCCGGCGATACCGATAGGGAAGGCCTTGTGCAAGGAAGCACCAAACCGTGCGGCGCAAGGAGACGGCTTTGCAGCACGCAGCCTCACAACCCTCGGTGCGCAGCAAAGTTTTCAGCCTCTGCGCCCCTCCGGCACCGACAGAACGCCGAGTTACATCCTTCAGGTTCGGGACCGTCCCCTTTGGAGAGGCTTTGCTCTCATCCCCGTGCCCTCCGGCTTCTGCCCCCCGCCGTTTCCCCCACCTCGACGAGCCGTCCTTATCGTCCTCTTCCTATTTTTGAGTGTGTGTTAAGATAAGGCAAACAGATAAGCGATCTCTCCCACAGAGATTTACTTGCATAATCGGAACATTTACTCCAATTAGAGCACAAAAGACCTCAGTCACTCCATCCCCTTTAACTCCATTGGTAAGGTCAATATTTGCCCGGCGGTCGCTCCCACCGCCCAGGCAGCGGGACAGACAGACAGAGCAGACATCAGGAGACAGATCGCTTTTCATCTCGCGGTCTGCAATCGGACAAGCATTGCAGAAGTCACCACGAGAGAAACGACAGCACGGGGGCCGTCGACCCAAGGGCACGGGGAATTCCCCCGCTTGAAATGTTAAACACCCAGGCCAGGCGTCTTCGAGGAAGGCACGTCTCCACGTACGGGCGGTGGCTCTTTAGTCCCCAGCGCCCCGAGCGTGAGATGCGTTTTACACGCGCCGCTTCCCCTCTCCTTCCCCACATCCCCACATCCCCCCGTCCTCCCCACCAGCCTCCCGTGTCTCTCCATTCATCCGCCGCCAGCGGAGTTCTTAGAACCAGTTTTCCCCGTCCCAGCGGGACGCGGTCAACGAAGCCCTCAGCTTCGCGCGGAGGGCACAGCGCGCAAGGGCACGGCGCTCCTACGGCCAAAGCCATCCCAAATGTTGGGTCTGAAGGAGGGCGCTCCGTAAAGGAGAGAGAGGCACGGCCTCCCGAGAGCCATTCTCCGCTCTCCACGGGCATCGCAGGACCTCGGGCTCGTCGGCCGACCCAGACCAAAACCCCACAGGCTTGAGCGCGGCGAACGGCTGCTGACACCTGGTGGTGAGGTCCAGGGCCAAGCCGGACGCGCCTGTAGGGGTTCTTACGGGCAACATCTGCAGAGAGATGGGGTACGGAGAAAGACCGCGGCCGCAAATCAGGAGTTCAGAACTGCCACACGAAGCGGCTCGCGGAGAAGTGACGCGACGGCTTTAGGAGTCGTCCGTACACCGAACGCCGCCGCAGCTGCTTGGGACGGGAGAAAGCATCCAGCAGCCAAAGCGCTTGGGGAAAAGGAGGCAGCGCCAGACAAAGCATCTCTTCTGAGGCTTTAAAGTCCATTTGCCGTCTGCTTGCAAATGGGAGGAACCATTAGGAACGCATGCGAAGCGATTAGCGAACATCCACATCTATTAGGCAGAAAGGAAAAATAACCAGACCCAAATAGCTGTCGGAATGGCTCCCTTTGCTCCTTTATGTCATTTGAGCTCATCGTTCGCAGAAACTCAATCTCGGCTCTTTAAACGAGCATACGGTGGGGAAACAAGAGGGGAAAGGCAAAACGTTTCTGCCCGGCTTCAGGCGCAGAGCAGGCTTTGTGCGATCAGAGCAGGGAGGTTGCGGAACGTAAACACAGTAATTAAGGCACTCGTTGTAATTGCAAGCAGTTTATTGTGCCGCACGCCGCATAACCGAGCCACCCTAGGCACCGCATCGTCGGAAATCCCTAAGCCCGACTTCGGGGGCCTTCCGTACCCACGCTGGCTTTTCATCCTTGTTCAACTCTTCGGTAGCAGAATCGGGTCGTGAATCTTCGTTTTCTTACAGCGAAACGTATTCGCATGAGGTGTACTTACGCTTCCCAACCCAACCTTCGGATCCATCCGAGCAGCTCTGCCCACCCGTCTCCCTTCGGCTGCGGCGTGAGATAAAAATCTCCCTGCCGAACACGAAGACAAGTCCAGGAATTACGAGCGCCCATCCCGCACTCGCGGCACCCGGCGGGGCTGCGCGGGTACCGCTAGGTGTCACCCCCCGCCCGCCGACGGTCCCGGCTCCGCCGCAGGGCCACCTCGCGGGGCGGTGACCGTCGCTTGCTTTCAAGCGCTGCCTCGCGTTGCCCCGAGGGAGGCTCAAGTCGGATATTAGGAAGAATTTCTTTTCCGACCGAGCGGCGACGCGTCGGCCGCCCGGGGAGGGGGGGCCGTTCCCATCCCCGGAGACGTCCGACGCGGAGACGCGGCCCGGAGGGACGCGGGCAGCGTTGGCGGTAGGTGGGCTGGTGGACTGGATGACCTTCGAGGTCATTTCCTGCCTCCAGGATTTGACGGTGCCATGATAGGAAGTATTACTTTTCAGAAAGGGTGGTCAGGCACTGGAATGGATGCCCAGGGAGGTGGTGGAGTCACCGACCCCGGGGGTGTTCAAGGAAAGACTGGATGTTGTGTTGAGGGACGTGGTTTAGTGGGAGCTGTTGGCAATAGGTGAACGGTTGGACTGGATGAGCTTTTAGGTCTTTTCCAACCTTGGTGATTCTATGATTCTATGATTCTAAGCACGAGGGTTGGGTTTGTCTCCGAGCAGCGTGCCGGACTCTGCACCTCCCAGGGAAAGCAGAAGCTCCAGCGCGGGCCTGGGAATTAGAAAAGCGTCGTTATGTGCTGCAGAACCAAGGGAACATCGAGGAAAAAGCAGCCTCTGCTTCGCAGCGCTCCTGCTCCAGCTCCAGCTGCTCCGTGCCCGGGGGAGCGCCGGCACAGAGCCCTCCCGGGTCCTGCAGAGCTGTAAAAGAGCGAGAGCGACTGGTGTGGACAATGCGCAGACAGGGAGGAGGAGACACCCGAGCCGGAGTGCAGGCTGTCAGACAGAGCCCCCATCCCATAACGTTAGGGCCGCAGAGATGCTGATGCTGACGCATCAGGTCTTCTGCCACCTCAGGCCGACGCTTTGCTCGGGCACACGAATCTAATAGATGCAACCCCCCCTCCCCCAACTCGTCGTGCTTTGAAACACACCCAGCAACACTTGTCCCCAGCAAAGCCAGCCGCCGCCCCGCGCCCGAGCTGGGTTCCATCAGACGAAGCCAGGGGCGCCGGTTAGCATCCCCGCACGGCAGCGAGCCTGAGAAGTTAATTAGCGCCCGTTTGCTGCTTTCAGGGAGGAGATTCTGAGCGTCGCTGGTAAACTCATTTCGTGGAGTCGCACTTAATTTGCAGCGATGGCCGTTTGTA